CCTGTCATTAATAGCAAATAATTCTTCCGCCAGAATATTACTGTGTCAAAATTAGTCTCACCCCTGTCATTACAGCACTCTCACTGTTCTGCAAAGGCAGTAACGCTCCGCAGCTGCTGATGGATAAGGAGCGCAGCCATCGTCTCTGACGCTAACGGGATGTGGGTACGTTGAGCAAACGACTCAAGGAGCGCAAAGCCTCGGCGCCATCGGCCTGCCTGCCCACGACCGCGCTCTGCATTTCGGTGGTTCCTGGTGCACCTCAAGTTTCCAGACCTGTAGAAGATGCTCCAGCGCATTGCACCATATCTCCCAGGGGATGCGAGCAAAGGGCCCCACTAATCCCATACCCTGCCCTCTCTCTCATGACGCCATCGTTGTCCCACACAGCTTAAATCCAGCCAAGACAAAACTCGAAATCTTTCCTTCTCCTTTTGAGTCATCCAAGCCTCTCTAGAGAAAGCAAGGTTTTGCAGGGAGCAGCGAGGGGAGAAGTTTCAGGGAGAAACTGCTCGTCCTCACTGAGAAGGAGGAATCCTCTGGCGAAGGAAGACCTTAACTCAACGTGTCTAACCAGCAAGGAAAGGGAAGATCCTGCGGTCCCTCTACGTCCTCATCCCAATCTCTGTGCAGGATGTGACAAGCTGTAAGCAGCTCAGCACCACACAGCAGAGCTGAAGGAGCCCGTGCCACCCTACAGCCGAGGCTGGAGCTGCCCTGGTCCTTGCTGGGGAAACACCCGCAGGATTCTGCTCAATGCCGGGACGCCCCACGGACCTGGCAGTGCTGGGAGCCGCCAGCTTTGCTTCCCTTCCCATTACAGCTCCAGTGCCTTCCCACCAGTGTACAGTTATCAAAGACCCTTGGCCACCTCCATCTGCACGACGAGCTTTGAGCCCGGGTAGCTCAAAGGCAACCCAGCTACTACGAGCGTTGCGATCTCCATTCCCGGTGCGAGAGGACACCTCTTACCTGGCATCGTCATCCCGGGCTACAAGAAGACGCATGTGGCTGGTGGCTGATGCCGTCCTCAGGATGTCCACGGCCCTGCAACACAAGGACCGCAACACATCAATGCCAGCAGTGAGCCATACAGAATCACAGAATCATTAAGGTTGGAAAAGACCTTTAGGATCATCAGGTCCAACCATCAGCCCAACACCCCCACGCCCACTCAACCATGTCCTGGAGTGCCACGTCTACACGTTTTCTTAACACTTCCAGTGATGGTGACTCCATCACGCCTGTTCCAATGCTTGACCACTCTCTCCGTAAAGAAATTTTTCCCAATATCCAATCTAAACCTCCCCTGGTGCAACTTGAGGCCGTTTCCTCTCGTCCTATCGCTGGTTACTTGGGAGAAGAGACCAACACCCACCTCACCACAACCTCCTTTCAGGTAGGTGTAGAGAGCGATAAGGTCTCCCCTCAGCCTCCTCTTCTCCAGACTGAACACCCCCAGTTCCCTCAACCGCTCCTCATCAGCCTTGTGCTCCAGATCCCTCCCCAGCTCCGTTGCCCTTCTCTGGACACGCTCCAGCACCTCAACGTCCTTCTTGTAGTGAGGGGCCCGACACCATCCAGCACATCTCCTCCCTCGGGAAGTTTCCGTCTCAGGGATGACCACTCTCTGGTTCAAAATTCGCGCGTCCCCATGAGGGTCGGGGCAGCGTGCTGGGGTCCAGACACAGCCTCCCTGCAGCTGCAGAGGAGTCCTCGGGGACCTCCTTTATCAAACCCAGCCGCTCTGGGGGGGTTTGGGAGCAGGAGAAGCTCCTCGTGCTGATTCCCAAGCATCCATCCAGCCTAAGCACACCGTGCGGGGATGGCAAGGCGGCAGCGGGCTAGCAGCACGTTTAATGGAAAAGGGGATGCCCCAAAAGTCCAGTACGCCTCTGGATCAGTTAATTATTTTCTTGGCAGGGAGCTGAGGGGCTGGGTTGCGGCTCCGGAGGGAATCCCCCACGCAGAGCAGTGCTGTCGGGCTTAGGCACTGGCTAATCTCCTGTGCTGGGAGCTGCGGGGCTTGCTGGGAGCTGCGGCAGATGGGGGGGGGGGGGGGGGCGGGGGGTTGTTAAAGGGGGGGGGGGTGCCAGGAGCTGTTAAAAAAAACCACCAGTTTTTTGGGGAAATGTCTGAATATCTCACAAATACGGTTCGGGTTCGCTGGTCTATTTTTATCTAGAAACTTTTCGTTTGCTAATTCCCAAGTTGGCTCTCGGGAGCAGCGCTGGCTGCATCAGAGCGCGGACAAAGCGATGCCCTGGCGTCCTCCGCACAACCTGCAGCCTAAACCACATCACAGAATTATACAAAAGCAACAGGAATGCAAAAATTTCCGTTCGGATATGGTACCTCTCGCTTGTAACCCCAATTAAGGAATCTCCATTGACCTCCAGGATCTGGTCTCCTGGCTGCAGGCGCCCTAGAAAAGAAAACTAATGGATAGAAACTGCAGAAAATACAGCTTGGAGGGACTGGGAGAGGTTGGGCAATCCTTCCCTTTGCCCAGAGACAGGATGAAATATGCATAGGTCCTTCCTCAGATGCTCATCCAACCTGTTTTTCAAGACGAAGTTTCTGCAACCTCCCTCAACAACCCATGCCAGTGTCGCAGCGCTTCCTCTGCTGTAGGACGTTACGAAAGTAAATACCAAAAAACGCAATAAAGCTTTTACTTAATTCAGTTTGAGGTCAGGTAGAAAACCACGAGTGGCACTTCCACCTGTTCTGGATTTATTTTTCTTTATTGAACGGAAAAATGATGTTGTAATATTTGGGGGGGCGGGGGGGGAAATATCTCTTCGGCTTAAGTTATGAAAGGTGAACTTTGCCTAATAACTACTTATTTGAAGATGCTCTGAATGAAATCGGTGTCCCAGAGCAGAGCCGACTTTGCAAAAGGATCTCAGGTAATTTGGGGACTACAGGTAGCGAGTGGCACGTTGGAAAGGACAGGCAGCAAAGCGAAGTTCTTTGTGTGGTGGGGCGGATCCTGCTCTAAAGACACAAAGCGATCACACACATGCTGTAGAGGCTGCTGCCAGATGTTACGATGATTGCCGCAGTGAAAAAATAACTCCCCAGTGCTGGAAAATCGGGGAAGAAGCACCTGAAATGTCTAATAAGGCAACGTATAAAATAAATGCCGTGGATTTTGGCTTTTCTCAGGCTCTGCACCACGTTGAACTCACCGTCTGCGTAAGCAACACCTCCTGGAAGGATCCTCTTGACGTAAACTCCGTATTCTTCTCTGGTGAGTTCCTTGATGCCACCGATTACCTTAATACCTGGAGGAAGAGAAGTGCCCATGAGACAAGGGCAGAAGAACTGCAGTTTCCACCGGCTGTCTCGGAGGGACGCAGCCCCTGAGGCTCCGTTGTGGAGAGCCCCGCGTAGCCCCTGCGCTAC